ATATATATATATATATATATATATATATATATCCTCTTTCTCTCTCCTTCTTTCTTTTTCGCTCTCATACGTTTTTAAGTTTGTGTGGACTTTAAAGGCAAGTCATTTTTTTGCCTCCCCCAGTGGCTTACCCAGGGGGTGCGAAAGGGTGGACCATGTAGGAGACATGTTAATGCGATTGCCCTATATATACTTTCAGCTAAGTGACAAGACTGAGACCCCTTCGCTCCCAGACACTCTTGTGGAGCCTTCCAAAAAACATTTGGTTTGGAAATTCGGGTGTTGGTCTCATCATCTATTGTTACTGACCTGGAGAGGGTGCTTCCAAAATATGTACATTTTTCCACTGCTTGGAGATTCTGTCCCTTCGCTGATGTTTTGGGTTCTTTGTGAGCTTTTCCTGGAGCTTGCTGGTTATCCTGGGGGTTTAACGTATTGATGGCGCGGCTGTAGCTGTTGAAGGCTTTAGCAAAGGGATCAAGTGTTTGCTGCATTTTTTGTTCCGAGCTTACATTTAGGGCACAGTCATCAGCAAACAAGAGGTCTCGAATAACCGTTTCTTTAACTTTTCTAATGTCATGCAGTCTCCTAAGATTAAATAGCCCTGGAGCTGGCGTGTTGTAAATATTATGTCAGCTGTTCCCCGCTCTAAACGGAATCCACAATAGCTTTCAGAAGGACTATATAGCCAAGATCTTCCCAGCTATAGAAATGAGAGAAATGCTTCCATAGTTGTCACAGGTTTGGCAACTACCTTTTCTCTTGTATTTGAGAATTATATAATTTGCATTCTTGAATTACTGAAGGACAGTGCCATCTTTCCATATCGTCTTAAATAGCTCTGTCAGTCTTTTTGTCAGGATGGTGCCTCCTACTTTGTAGTTTTCGACAATGATTGCATCTTTTCCTTTGGCAGTGGTCGGAAAACTCATTAGCAAAAGAGCCGAAAATCAGCAGCTGGGCGATTAAAAAATTTTGAGAGCCACATTTCTTTCAAGAATCTATCAAGAACCATGTTTTTCGGAGTCAAATTCGATTTTGTGGCTGTCTGGCCGAGCAGCGATTTGCCGAACACTGTCCCAGGGCTTTATTTGAGGATAGTTTCTGGATTGCTCTCCAACTTCACCTTCTTTGTAACTATTGTTTTGCTGACTCTAGCTCTTGGTTGATCTCAACCTGTGGTAAACTAGCAATGAATGGTCTTATCGTTTGTAGTAGTCGTACAGTTAAGAACTTGACAAAAGTTTTGGCACAACTTTCTAAAATCTGACTCTTGAGCGTTGGTAGCTGAGTTCCATCTTTGTTAAGGATGGACAAGCAGCCTGTTTAAAATGCAAACACGCATCACATAGTGTTTCATTCAATGTATTTTTTAAAAACTTACACAGCACTGAGATTTTTATTCACATTAATTTAAAGGAGGTTTATACATTTCGTTGCCTCTGCTATACTGCATCAACAAATTTTGCGGAAATGCAGATATTCATGGCTAAACAATTTTGTCAACGATGCTATATTTGTTCAGAATGACATCACCGAACTATTGTTTTGACTTCGTGGCAAAATCAGGTTAATGATGTCCTCTCTTAGCCCGCACTGTCTACTGTGTATTATTCAATTTTTATTTAGTGAGATTGAATTTCATTCTAACAATGGGTTCAAAATCATTTAAACTATCTACTATTTAAAAAAAAAAAAATTTAACCAAATGAATAACCTTTTCTGAAATATTTATCAATTCTTTAAAAGTTTAAACTCTGCTTCACATTCCTTTGAGAAGAACTTTACTAAAATTCTTTTCATCGTCTTGGTTCTCGCTGAAATTAACAAAATGTATGAGTTTCTCAGTTTCTTAGAGTGTAACCCCATTGGAGTTCGGCTAGTGTATGTCAGGAAAATTCAATAACTATCTTTTCCTTTCCTGAACGGGTTGTTGACTTTGGGAGTAAAGTGCATCTCTACCTTTCTGAGATGTTAACCACAAAACAAAAGGAAGATATTAGGTCGGGGTGGGGGTGAAAAATGAAATGATAACATTACTTTTTTCCAAAATCAGTTGCATTCTCAATCAAAATTTTTTAAAAATATTGTTGATGCCCCATCATTTTGAGTTATATTTTACAAAAACAATTGTTAAGTTTTTTTAACCTATTTATTTCGTGCATTTTATAGGATTGCACTGAAATATGGTGAATGAAAATGAAACAAAAAAGGGTTTACAAGCTGACAAGTCGTTACGAGTGGCTCGGCAGCTAGCGAAACCGCACGTCTTTTGTAAACCGGATACAGTTTACAACGTTAGCTAAGACTAAGAAAATACAGAAAAAAATCTGATCGCGTCTCGGCCTTTTGGCAAAGATCAGGTTACCAAACCTGGTTGGGTGAACGTGATATCTCGCTTGTTTCTTCAGCCTGGCTGGGTCGGGAAATCAGTTAGAACATTAAAGAGAGCCACAAGGCCGAGATAACCCCAAAAAATCTGATTGCCTCTCAGCCTGTTGGCTAAGTTCAGGATGCGGTGTCTGTTCTTATCCCGCCGGGTTACCAAACCTGGTTGGGTGAACGTGATATCTCGCTTGTTTCTTCAGCCTGGCTGGGTCGGGAAATCGGTAAAAACATTAAAGAGAGCCACAAGGCCAAGATAACCCGAAAAAATCTGATTGCCTCTCGGCCTGTTGGCTAAGTTCAGGATGCGGTGTCTGTTCTTATCCCTCCGGGTTACCAAACCTGGTTGGGTGAACGTGATATCTCGCTTGTTTCTTCAGCCTGGCTGGGTCGGGACAATCGGTAAAAACATTAAAGAGAGCCACAAGGCCAAGATAACCCCAAAAAATCTGATTGCCTCTCAGCCTGTTGGCTAAGTTCAGGATGCGGTGTCTGTTCTTATCCCACTGGGTTACCAAACCTGGTTGGGTGAACGTGATATCTCGCTTGTTTCTTCAGCCTGGCTGGGTCGGGACAATCGGTAAGAACATTAAAGAGAGCCACAAGGCCAAGATAACCCAAAAAAATCT